TTGGATCATATTTTTACGTACTACCGAATCAAAAAATTTGTTTGCACGCGTATCACTATAAAAATTGGATACATTACATCAAAAATCGGATTTTACTTTTGCGTATCACTTTGGATCAAAAATCGGATTATACTTTTGCGTATCACTTTGGATCAAAAAATTGGATCATACTTTGACGTATCACTTTGGATCATACTTTGACGTATTACCTTTACGTATTACTGGATCAAAAATTTGATTACCTTTGCGTATTACTTTGGATCATACTTTGACGTATTACCTTTATGTACTACCGAATCAAAAAATTGGATACCTTATGTATTACTGGATTAAAAAATTTATCGCGCTTTTGCGTATTACCGCATCGAAAAATTTATTGCACTTTTATGTATTACCGCATCGAAAAATCAATTAAAAAATCCACAAGTTTTAATAAATTCACAATAAAAATGTATTCATATAACCCACTTCTGCTTCCGGATACAATTGCAATAATCGTTCAAAAACTCCCATTGGATAGTATTAGTATAGCTTTGTGCATTAATCATATTTGGAATAAGGAAGTGAAACATGAATTGCATATGAGGCGCGAAAAGATCAAAAATCAATATTGGAGAACAGTATCAGTAAGATATATGGAGATACAGCTTAAAGAACAAAGTTGGGAAGAAGAGGGCAGGCAATTTAGCGACTACAGAGATACAGATGACTATGAAAAACACAACAACAAAATGAGATTATTAGATGGGGAATGTAAAGAAATCTTCTATAAACTAGTAGAGGTAGAAAAATGCATGTTACAAAATAAATTAATCAGAAGAAGAGAAAGAGGCGATGTATTAAAACGTATTAAACATGTTAATAGTGAGGACTGGTTGCATCCCTGGTCGGAAAGTGAAATAGAATTGATTGGTAGAGATTATGAACTTAATATACTTTTTGATGAGACAGAGATTTGAAGTTCATTGTAGAATCAAAACTTTTTAGATTCAAATAGGTAATAAATTCTCAGCTACTCAATCCACGTATAATCCCGGTTTTGCTTTTTTTATTCAAAAAATTTATCGCACTTTTGCGTACTACCAATTCGAAAAATTTATTCTTACTTTTGTGTACTACCACATTGAAAAATTTACTTATATAAAAGCATGTTTTGAGTAGACTCTTTTTTCCTTGCATCTCGTATAGGCTTAATTATCATGAACCATATAACTGCAAGTATCAAAAAAGCAAGAATCGCATACATAAACATAGGCGAAAACAAATTACCTGCTACAGTTGGCACTACTTCACCCCCGCGTATAGGTAAAATTTCTGAGATGGCCCCTCCCGAAAAATTTTCCATCTCTGATGCTTCTGAGGCATTGGTGGGAAACTCCACATTAGTTGATTCTGAAATATTAGCCTTGATTATAGTATCACTAGACTTGGGAGTATCAATTTTTTCTGTCTGATCCATATTATTTCTACGTTTTAAAAACTTACTAAAATTTAGCTTAGGTTTATCAACTGCAGAGATAACATCGGAATTCGCTATATTTTTCTTTAGTAAATCTAAAGGTTCCACTATTGCAGAAGAAATGAGACTCGACCCCTCGCCACCTCCACTAATTGCTTCTCCCAATGGTAAAACCCGAGATATAGCATCTGATTTTAAATGCTCCAGCTCGCTAACTTTTAAGGATAATTCATCTTTCATTTTCTCCAATTCAGCTAATTTAGATTTGAGGAACAAGACCTCAGATTCCTTCATAGATGAGTTTTTCTGAGCTGAAGTCAGGTTACCCCCCAATTTCTTTACCTTAGTTTGGAGTGATTTTGCTTCTTTTGATTTTTCCGATAAAGCATTTTGTATATTATCCAACTTGATATCATAATCATTCATTGCAATCTGCTGGCGGTTATTTTGCGATTTGTGAACAGATATTTCTTTTCTCAATCGTTTGATTTCAGATATAAGTTGTAGAGCATGGGAGTGAATTTGTTGAATATCTGTATCAGCCTGTTTTAGATTGCGTTGTAATTGAGCATTCCCCTGTTTGATATTTTTACTAAACTTTGAATATACCACCTGGAGATTTTTGAAATCATCAATGAGTTCAGAATTGGACTTGATACTATCACGTAATGCCTCCTCGAGTTCTTGTTCGCGGGCACTACCAAGCCTATATCCCTGCCCTTGTATTTTTTTGGATTCCATACTTTTGGTATCTTGCAATGTACGCACATTGGCCATATGATTTTTCCAAAAAATAAATGCTAAGAAATAGATATTATCGATATTATTGATATTACCAATATTACTGATAAATTTTTTATATATTATTGATATTACCGATATTACCGATATTACTGATAATTTTTTTTATATATTATTGATATTACCGATATTACCGATATTACTGATAATTTTTTTTATATATTATTGATATTATCAAGACCATGCGATCTGATGCAATCAGGCTATCATCAGAAGACTATGATTATATTATGCAATATAAAGATGCAAAATCCAAACCTCTAGATATGCTTAGAGACAAATATCCTATGTCAAATACCCGTTTTTATCAGATATGGAAAGGGAAAGAGGTTTGTACAAATACTTGGAATTCATCTTTGGCCAATCCAGGAAACGATATTCCAATATCTGTAGTTGCGGGAGAGAAAAAAAAGAGGAAATCAAAATCCAAGTCTACTTGCATTTCTGATCAGCCCCTTATTAATAAAGATCTAGATGCGGTAACATCCTCACTCTGTGAGACAGAAAAGATAGGCAGAATTTCAGAAACAAAAAAAGAAACTACACCACCTGTTACCTCGCAAAAGACTGAAGATGTTCTGGAATTACATAAGAGAAACCAAAAAGATATAGAAAAGATTAGAGCAAGTGGTCGTACTCTTGTCTCTAAATTATCTGTTCCTTAGATTCGTAATTTATATCGATCACACATCGTTATAATACCCAATTACTTCAGAAACTGATTGAATACTGGCAAATAATGCTTTTTCAAGTTCTTTTTCACGGTTTGACTTATTCTCGCAATTCATGCATTTTTTTTTAACTCTGTATCTGGCTCTTCAGAAATAGAAGGAATTGCATCAACATGGTGTACCTCAAGCTCATTTTCAACTCTATGCATAGTAACTGGGATGATGAAATCTTTTCCATTGCAATGAAGCTTCATTTCGGATTTAGCCCAATCCATCGCACAATCGTGTTTTTTAAGGAAGGGGTTGCTCAATAACAGCATAGTCTTTGGGTAATCAATAACTGCGAAATCTAAATAAAATACACAGCCAGGAGCTAGGGTTAATGGTACGTTATAAACCATTCCAATGGATTTGGTTAGGACAGTGGCCGCCCCCTTGAAATAAAACACCGCACTTTTATCAATTTCCAAACCCAAGCATTCAGCAATGTCCGTAGACATAAGTAAAGTATTGGAGCCAGAATCAACTGTAATTGCCGAGAGTACTAAACGTTTGATTTTACCCCGCACAGTCACAATATCTATCACATCTTTATCCTGGACAAAGTTAATTTCCATATCTTCGATAACTTCTTCATCCTCGGTATCTTCGCTTTGTTGAGAAGTATCATTTGCGGTACTAGATTTCTGAAAATTTCGTAAGATTTTACTTATAGTCTCCTCAAATAAAGCAGAATTTACAAGCTCACTTTGAATAATTTCACGAATTCGTCGTTCTAGTAAAGTTGAAGTGGGATTTTGTGATACTCGAGGAGAAACTTGAATCTCCTTACCCTCTGAAGAATATGCATCTTTCTTGCCTTTGGATCGGGATTGTTTATCGGATGTCTTCTTAGGTCGATCTATTTTTTTTTAATTCTGGATACATTGACATTGGATTCTTCACTAAGTGCGTTATCATCAAATTCACCATCACCTTCTTGATCAGAAATAGCAGATTCATCAGGAATTTCTTCTGCATCACAGCTATTATCAAATTGATCTTGTGAGAACCCATCGGCGAAATTCACACGACCAGTTCTTTTTCTAGAATTATTAATCATCATATTCTTAATTATGGGACAACTGCGATAAGTATGACCTAGCTTTTTACAAATTTCGCATTTATGTTGGATTGGTCTAGTATTTACTCTAGGGGTTCTGACCATGTTTATTGATTGACTCGGTGAGTTTGACAATCCCTCAGGTTGATCTAATTTATTTGCAAGGTTGATAATTGCATAATCAATTTCCATTGGTTCGAATACTCTGTTGTCTTCAACCTCAAGGCCCATTTCCGCGTAATTTTTCAACTCTTCATAATATTTGGCTTTCTCAGTTTTTGGACGGAAATTTTGATATTCATATATTGGAGGATTTGTAATTCGTTGATGTGGTTGAGATTTTGGTTGCTGAACAATCTGCTGGGGAGGTTGGAGCACGGGTTGTTGAACAATTTGCTGAGGCGGTTGAAACACAGGTTGTTGTACAATTTGTTGGGGTACTTGAGATGCCATCCCATTCATATTATTTGCACTTCCATAGTTAAATAAAGAAGGTCTACGCTCCAGCCACATATTCTTGAGATTAGTAAAGAATACATCAATGTCCGCGGGTTGTGCGACTTTCATTTGAGTGAAAAGTTCATCAGGTAAATGTTTCATAAGAAATCCTAAAGCATTGGCATCATTATTAGGCACTCCTAGTAAAAAGGGTCGAATTCTATTCTCATATGTTTCTGGAGTGTCAGTAGGCATGAACAATTCGAACACCAATCTCTGAATTGCAACTTGTTGAGTTCCAACCATTTCTTGCTGATATTTGAATCTGAGCCAAGTTATGAATTGTGCTGGAGTATCGATATTTGTTCCATTTGGATATTGCGCAGGAACTGGTAAATATTTTCCTCCCATTTGTGATTTATAAATATCTGCCTTGTGAGCATCTGTAAAAGTGTTTGCATTGGCAGTATTAGCATCAGTAATAAGTGTATCAGCATAAGAAATTGCTTGTGCAATCCTATTGCAGTAATCATCTGGTGGTTCCTGACCTATGTAGGTTGGAATTTGGGCAAGTTTGGGTGCAATAGTTAAATAGATATGTTGTCTTGATGCCTGAGCCATATCTTGTAGATTATTTTGAAGCGTTAAAATTTGCTGATTTAAATTTATTATTCTTAGCTGAGAATCTTTTTCTTTATTTTCCCACTTTTTATGCTTCGCCTTTTGCTTGACATGCTTACCCTTCCTCTTTGCATGCTTTCTACGCCAATTTTGTAAGTCAGCTTGACATGTTTGCAATTGTCCCATCTGGAAATTGTGGGCCTGGTTAAGAAGATCGAAATTATTATTTGCAGTATCCAACCGAGCCTGTAATTGTATAATAATTTGTGCATCTCCCTGAATTTGGGCTTGAAGTTGAGTTGCTTGATTATTCAACCCCGCAATCATCTGACCATATTGCTGATACTGGGTTTGTGCTTCATCATTTTCCCAGTCAGCAATTTCTTTTAGTCGAAGTGCAGAATCATTAACTGTAATAATCTTGTTTAGAATATCCCTCTGATTCCAAGCCGAAGTGTGGGAATTTCGAATATAATTATCAATATGCATATTTTCATCCAGAAGTGTATCGAAAAGGTTGTTAAGTTCATTGGGCCTAGGTGGTTGGATTGGATTAGACATTGCAAGTTTATTATACTTCTTGGATGTAAGTTTCCGAATTTTCTTTTTTAATATGAGCACTTCCTCTTCGAGTGTAGACAACCGTTGCTCTAGATCAAGAACATAACTCTCTTTTTTATCCACATCCTTTAGAGCAGACCGAAGACGTTTTTGCAAATCGGATACTTGGGATTTGAGTTCCTGAATCTCCTTTTCGTGGGCTATGATTGTGGTATCCTGAAGCGAAATGGACCTATCACATTGTTCTAGTTCTTTTATGGGAATGCAGATTTTTTTCTCATTTGATTGGTTTATACTTGCCTCAGAATTAAGTTCCTTTCTCAGTTCGCAATTACTTTTGAGCAATGCTAAATAGGCGGGATCGAAATTGAAACTCATGACAAAAAATTCAGCCTTGGTTTATAGTA